GGGTCTGTCAATTCGTTGTCATATCGGAGTTGGGCTGTTTGCTTCCAATAAAGAGCAATGATGAAGTTGATGTCGTTTTTATCTAGTCCCAGTTGTTTTAATAGAGCTGCTAGTCGGTCGTGGTCGACTGAGTCAAAGGCTTTCTCGTAATCTATGAAGCAGATGTACACTTCTTTCTGATGTTCGTAGCATCGCTGTAGTAGTATCTGTAGACAGAAGATTGCTTCTCTTGTGCCTAGTCCTTTGCAGAAGCCAAACTGTGTGTTCTTCAATGCATTTTCGCATGTGGAGCGTATGCGCTGTTGGATCACCTTCAGGAAGACTTTCAGCACGTGGCTCATCAAGCTTATCAGTCTGTAGTCTTCGCATTTCCGGCTTGTTGCTTTCTTTGGTATGGCCACAAAGATGGATTGTAGCCAGTCGGATGGAATTTTATTGCCAATGTATATTTGATTGTACCAATTAGTCAGTTGTCGTATGTTGTTACTGTCTAATAGTTTGAGCAATTCTACATGGATTGTGTCGGGCCCGCACGCTTTGCCTGACTTAGCTGTTTTGATTGCATGTTCTACTTCTGATGTTAAAATGTGTAGAGCGTCTTTCGACATCTGTTGGTCTTTTTCTGCAGGTGTTCTCGTGGCGCCATAGAGCTTGTGTATATAGTTTGTCCAGGTGTCCATTTTTTCTTGTTTATTTAGGATTGGTTGGTTGTTGTCCGCATACAAGGTAGCTGTTGGGGCTGGTCTGTAGATGTTACCAGCTTCTTTGAGCTTATTGTGCAGAGTAAAATTGTCATGTTTTTTAATTAGTTCTTCCATCTCGGCGCATTGTTCTTCCATCCACTTTTCTTTTGCCTGTCGGATTGCTTCTCTGATCTTCTGTTGCATTTGTTTGTACTTCTCCAAGTTGTTGTTTTTGTATATTCTTCGTTGGCTCATTAGATCGAGAATACAATATGTCATCCATCGTTGTTTCTTTTTCGGTGGCTGATGTCCCAGCATGACTTCTGTTGTTTCTGTGATGCATTGTTTGAACGAGCGCCAGTACTCCTGAACATCTGCTGTTTCTGTTGTTATTGAGCGGATGCTATCGTTGAGATGTTGCTGTACTTGTCTTTTATCGGCGCTGTTCTTCAGTTTCTCCAGGTCTGCTCGTCTCGTCTTTGTACATTGTATTGATCGCAATTTGAGTCTTATTGTAGCTGTTACTGGGTTATGATCTGACGATATATCGGCTCCAGGGTAGGTTTTTGCTGTAATCACACTGGACTTAAACCTGATGTTAATTAGGATATAATCGATTTGGTTCCTGACGATGTTGTTGTCGGAGTCTTGCGGCGAGGTCCACGTGTACAGTCGTCGAGGTGGTAATTGGAACCACGTGTTAGCAATACTGAAACGTTCTTCTTGGCAGAATTGAACCAGTCTGTCGCCTCGTTCATTCCTTGTTCCTAGTCCGTGTTCTCCGACAATGTTCTGCATTCGACCGTGACCAACCTTGGCATTGAAATCGCCGAGGATTATAGTGATGTCTTGCTTCTTCAGCGGCTTCAGCGTGTTGGTTAGTTGCTCATAGAACGATTCGATTTCATGATCTTGTTTATCTGCTGTTGGGGCATAAACCTGTAGAATGTTCACGTTGACTTTGTTGCCTGCTAATTGTAGGAGTGCTATTCGTTCTGATACTGGGGTCAAGTTGTTGACTTTATTCGCTAATTTCTTGTGTACTATAAAGGCGACACCGTATGTTTGTTTGGTGTTTTCTTCTCCTCCGGAGCAGAAGATGTGGTGTTCGCTCGATATAAACTATTTTGTTCCAGGCCATTTAGTTTCGCTTAGACCGATTATGTTGATTTTAAGTCGATCCATTTCTTGTATGACATTGGCTAGTTTTCCTGCTTGAAGTAAACTTCTAACGTTCCAAGTTGCTACTTTGAAAGGGTTCTTTGACACAAGCTCGGAGATTCTTAGCACCCCTGTCCTATTTAAAGGACGCCGATACTCAGGGCCTTTGTTGATTTTGCTTGTCATCATTGAAGTTTTCAAGGGAGAAATAATCCAAGTAGTTTCCCGTTGCTTTCTTGGATCACCATTTATTTGAAAAGGTCATGTGGGGACCTTTCGAAACGGGTTTTGTCTGACGTCTCCACTGAAGTCTTCCCGCCTTGGGTGACCCTTCTGAGAGCACTAGGCTCTCGACGGTATAGCGATCAGCTTCTCAGACGTACACAAACTCTCTCGCCGCGCTAAGGCACCGTTTCTTCCGAGCTACCTTTACCCTGTACCCTTCACCTTACCCCTTGGCATGTCAACACCTTTACCCTTTTACCCGGTAAAAAGGGTAAATTACCTTACCTTGCCGAGGCCTACCGGTGTTTATCGTTTAGCTACGGATACTGGGGGCTGGGGGGGGGGGCTGTATAGAACGTGTCGTGTGTTTGTGTTGTTAGATGAAGGCTGCCCGGAGTCTATGGTTTTGTGGGTCAGGCCACGACGGGGTTAATGACCTGGGGGAGTTTGTGTTGTGAGTCCCCTCCACCACCCCACCCGATTCAGCGGATCGAATTAAAGTCGCGTGGCGTGCGAGCGTCTTAACACGTTGCGGCGAATACTCAGCCGGTGAGCGAGAGAGTGATTGTCACACTTGCTCACCCACTCGCACCCACACTCACCCGGTGAGCCAGAGAGCGATTGTCACACTCGCTCACCCACTCACACCCACGCTCACCCGGTGAGCGAGAGAGCGATTCTCACACCCGCTCACCCACTCACACCCACACTCACCCGGTGAGCGAGAGAGCGATTCTCACACCCGCTCACCCACTCACACCCACACTCACCCGGTGAGCCAGAGAGCGATTGTCACACTCCCTCACCCACTCACACCCACACTCACCCGGTGAGCCAGAGAGCGATTGTCACACTCGCTCACCCACTCACACCCACGCTCACCTGGTGAGCCAGAGAGCGATTGTCATACTCGCTCACCCACTCACACCCACTCACCCGGTGAGCCAGAGAGCAATTATCACACCCGCTCACCCACTCACACCCACGCTAACCCGGTGAGTGAGAGAGCGATTCTCACACTCGCTCACCCACTCACACCCACACTCACCCGGTGAGCCAGAGAGCGATTCTCACAGCGAGATTCCGCAGCGATTGGAGACCTCGACGTTGGATGCGAACTGCCTCGGGCAACTTTCCAGGATGCGGCGCATTCGCCACTTGTTGTAGATGTTCGCGGTTTGAACTCATCGGCTGCCTTGGTTAATCCAGGTGGTTTAGACGGGGGGAGGAAGTGTGGGGCTGTGGGGTGCAAGCTGCCCGGGGAGTGCATGATAGTTACTCTGGAGCGGCGGTAAATTTTTCTCGCTGTCGTTTACGTTCGTCTGGATAACAGGGGTAGAATGTACGGATACGAGGATAGGTGTATGCCCCCCCCCCCCCGCTTAACACCCCAGCCCCCCATGCCTGGGAAGCGATTCACTTCGGGTTGCCACCTGTTCCGGGTTTGACCCGGTTTCGGTCCGGGAATTGGCGTCATCTGCGTTCCGGGTGGCAGCAGCAGGAATTGGTTTGTGCCGGTGTCTCTGCACGGCACCTCACGGCAGGATAGACCACCAGGTTTGACGATCATCGACACTGGGGCTGCTCAAAGTACACCAAAACCTTGACCATCGCGGGGGGGGGGGGGGTCAGGTTTCTTGAAAAATATCCCCGCAATCGACAAATCCGCGATGGGGCAAGGGTTTGGCGTACATAGCAACGACGAGACGTCCGCATCGTGCGAGAACAATAGCAGTGCGGGCTGGATAGACGACGACAAAGCGACCACAATGCACGGACCCTCTTCAGAGGAACCGGTGATGGTTTGTGCGCAGCCAAACGCACGTTTTGTGTTGTGTGTGCCAGCGTGTCGCTTGAGAACCTGCAGCAGAACGAGAAACGGTGTCCGCGTGCGTGTGGGTCTCGAGTGGAACAGGTGGTGGCGGCCGATGCGAGAGGTTACAGCAGAATGAATTCCGCAGGCTCGCTGCAACACCAGTCGAATACGTGGAGTGGTTGATTGCAGGGCAATCGCGGGGCGTGCGTGACGAGCCTTGGCGAGACACCCAGCGAATGAGATCACCGAAATTCAACCTCTTGAGTTCCCCATGGTGCATTTCATTTGATTGCGTATCGTTTTACATTTATATTCAACGCCGACTCGTAACGCTGCCCAGCCGCTTAACGGTGTCCCCTCGCTCTCACAGAGAGAGAGAGAGAGAACGACTCAGCGGTGCCAGGAGGAACCACAGACGAGCAGGGAGGCAGCAGCAGCAGCCACGTGGTGATAAGCCAGCGCTACCAACAATTGCCAAGCTCTGCGGTCCTCTATATATCCAGGTGTTTTGAGCCCACTAATGGGTGATTATTGCGTGTGTGTGTGTGAGGAAAATCCGCGCGTGTGATTGGCTAAGCTATCATGAGAGATTCGTTCATGAGGCGATCCACATATACAAACACAGAGACAATTTCAACCGAGAAGATGGATTCTGGCTTAGCAATCATTGGAAGGACGTAATAAACCATTTCGGATCTTAACTGATTGTGTTCACGTTAACGGTGACTTTCAGACCGCGTTCCACTCACTGGCATGGTGCAGTGTGCAGAGTAATGTATGGTGTCGTAATTGTACAGTAAACATATAGCAGTATGATACACATTAGGGTGGGTAGAATAATACACAGTGTTATATTAAAATGGATAAGGCAGCAACTGCAGCAGCAGCAGCAAGTGCAGCAGCAGCAGCAAGTGCAGCAGCAGCAGCAAGTGCAGCAGCAGCAGCAAGTACAGCAGCAGCAGAAACTGCAGCAGCAGCAGCAACTACTGCAGCAGCAGTAACTGCAGCTCCCTTTGATGCTGTTAATCCTGCATAATGCACATGCATATGCAGTACTAATCACATTCCTGCATTTCCCATAAATATGCTAAATTCCTGTTGATATGCAAATTCCTTTGTCAATGCGCCCAGCTTATATATATGCTCCAAGCCCGTGTGCTGTTTCATTCAGACTCTGTCGCCTCGACGGACCTGGTTTTCACCTGAGGACGGCTGCTTGCGTTGTGGCCGAAACGTCGTGAGAATTGTTTTATTATGTTTTATTTTTATTATTTTATTACTTCCCTTCTACGTGACTTTACCGAAAGAACCAAGAAGATTGGCTAAGCACTTTACCCCTTGAACTTCCAACTTCTTTCTCACCGTACACACCCGACCCTGTTAATCGGTTGGCTACGTTGGCTCCATCCCGTACAGATGGAACAGATGGAGTCAACATGTTTTGCTATTACCACCTTCTCCTGGCGAGCCAGGAGGGTGAGGCTCCTCCTCGACACCCATGGAAGGAAGTTTCACGGCATCTGCGTGTGATCCACCAACCCTCGCCGCCTGGTCCACAGTGCTGAGTCACAAGCCGAGAACATTTAAGTTCAAACCAGGTTCATCATCACCAGCCATGAACTATCCACTGCCCGATAAAGGACTCCCACCCCCCCTCCTAAGCCGCCTGTATCATCTCCGTAAGGCCACGCCGTGGAACGATCCGTCTAGGAGCCAATCTCATGGACCGCTCCATCTCCCCAGTGGACGTCCTCTGGCGGGCGCGTTCTATTCCGACCCCCGGTGGAACGGCCCGAGGGCAGCAGCACTCGCTACAGCTGGAGAGTTAAAGCTGCGTGCATTGTCTCTCTGCTGGAGGTGGGGGGGAAGAGTGTGTGCGAATATGACAAAGATCCCCCGTATAGCCTTCAACAGACCGTAGGGGCAAGTGCTGTGAGTCAGTAACACCTATGAAGGCCGGCACGCCACACGAGGGGGTGGGTGGAAAGCACCGCGCCCGGCCGCCTTTGCCTACCCAAAGTTTAAGGCTGAGTCAACCCAGGGGATGCCCTGCACCGGTTCAGATATTCGTCACTGGTGTTGGTGGCCGTGAACGGGAATCGAACTCGGGTGGCCGGGTTCGTGGCGCAATGCAGTGCTAACCATAGCGCCACTGCTCCTCACGCTCGCACACGTCGGTGGACATGACTCACACTGATTGAAAAACTTTATTTAAACCATCTCAGTAGAGCGGCGGGAGAGGGGGTTGGGCCAGTCGCGGGAGGCTGGGCAAGCTGAGTGGGGGGCCCGGGTAGTTGAGTGGGGGGCCGGGCTCGTTGAGGGGGGGGTGGGGGGGGGGGGCGACTGGTTGAGGGGGGGGTGGGGGGGGCGACTGGTTGAGGGGGGGGGGGGGAGAGGCCCGGCTGGTTGGGTTGGGGTCCCGGCTAGTTGAGCAGGCAGGACTCGTAGGTGGGCACCATGTACTTGATGTTGATGAAGGCATCCTCGCCGCCGTGGCGCTCCAGCGTCTCCAGCGTCTCCTCGATCAGCTCGCCCACGTTCTCGCGCTTCTGCTGGCTGTAGTCGATCTCGTCGCCAGAGTTCCCTACGGGGAGTGGTGGGGGGTGGGGTGTGGGGGAGGGGAACCGGGGAGAGCGTTACCGGAGTGGCACCTGGGGGCAGGCAGAGCTGGTAATGGTAGTGGTGGTGGTGGTAGTAGTGGTAGAGGTGGTGGTAGTGGAGGTGGTGGTAGTAGTGGTGGAGGTGGTGGTAGTTAGTGGTCATGGTGGTGGAGGTGGTGGTAGTTAGTGGTCATGGTGGTGGAGGTGGTGGTAGTTAGTGGTCGTGGTGGTGGAGGTGGTGGAGATGGCAGAAGTGGAGGTCGCCGTGGCGGTGGTGGAAGTGGTGATGGCCATGGTGGTGGCGGTGGTGGGTTTATCTTGGCTGATTGTCTCACGGTGTTCACTTCACTTGGACTCGTCGGGGACAGGCGCTGAAACGGGGTCAGGGCTGGAGAGAGGGTCACAGTCACAGTCGGAGTCATGGTTGTAGCCAGGGATAAGGTCGATCAGGGTCAGGGTTAGAGTCGTCAGGGTTAGAGACAGGAGCAGGGTCAGGGTCACGGTTGGGAGTTTCATATCCGCGCTGCACCGGAGCAACTCGGCGGTTGCTACACGCGATGCAGTAGATTCAACCTGATTACTATCTAAAACAATTTTGCAGGGTTCTAACGTTTTTTAGCGGTGAGAAAAAATGTGTGTACTGGGGCGTTGCACGTGACCGAGTTGCACGGGGCTGAGTTGCACGTGACTGAGTTGCAGCACGGGGCTGCTCGCTCGTGTGTTGGCGAGGAGTCCGGCTGGGTGATGGGGGGGGGTCGTAGGGTTCGAGTCTCCGCTCACGGTTCTTGTTCTTGAAGATGTTGAGGATGGGCAAAATCTGGCGGTAGTAGGGCACCAGCGCCTCACCCACCATGTCGGCCGACAGCACCAGGTGCTGCAGCACCTTGAGCGACGTGCACATCACCTGCGTGTTGCGCGTGTTCAGCGCATCTGGACACACGCACGAACACACACACAGACACACACACACCAACACTCCCGTGTAGCCATAGCACACACACACACACTCCCGTGTAGCCATAGTACACACACACACACTCCCGTGTAGCCATAGTGCACACACACAGACTCACGTGTAGCGATAGTACACACACACACTGACGTGTAGCCATAGCGCACACACACACTGACGTGTAGCCATAGCACACACACACTGACGTGTAGCCATAGTACACACACACACTGACGTGTAGCCATAGTACACACACACACACGTATAGCCATAGCGCACACACACACTGACGTGTAGCCATAGTACACATACACACTGACGTGTAGCCATAGCGCACACACACACTGACGTGTAGCCATAGTACACACACACACACGTATAGCCATAGCGCACACACACACTGACGTGTAGCCATAGTACACACACACACACTGCCGTGTAGCCATAGCGCACACACACATACTCCTGTGTAGCCATAGCACACACACACTCCCGTGTAGCCATAGTACACACTCACGTGTAGCCATAGTACACACACACACTGACGTGTAGCCATAGCGCACACACACACTGACGTGTAGCTATAGTACACACACACTCACCTGTAGCCATAGTACGCACACACACTGCCGTGTAGCCATAGCGCACACACACATACTCCTGTGTAGCCATATCACACACACACTCCCGTGTAGCCATAGTACACACACACACTCCCGTGTAGCCATAGTACACACACACACTGACGTGTAGCCATAGTACACACACACACACACTGACGTGTAGCCATAGTACACACACACACTCACGTGTAGCCATAGTACACACACACACTGACGTGTAGCCATAGGTGTCTCTGGGTGCGTCTCTGGCATCTCGTCTGAGATGGTGTCTTCCAGGTGCTGAACCCCTCTGGCACAGGAGGACCTGTCCAGCGCCAGTGGTTCCATGCTGGAGGGATTCATGTTACAGTGCTTCAGCAGGTCCTTGCTGTGGTCGTTGAAGCGCTTTTTCTGTCCTCCAGCGTTTGGCTGCGCTGAGTTGGCAATAGAGAACTCGACGGAGGAGGCGGTGGTCAGACATGTGGATCACGTGGCCAAGCCAGTGGAGGTGTCATATGGCCATGCTTGCCTCAATGCAGGACGACTTGGTGTTGGTGAGGATCTCAGTATGTCGAACTTTGTCCTTCCAGGTTAGCCCGAGGATGCGCTGGAGGCATCTGATTTGGAAGGCCTCCAGGATGTTAATGTGCTGCCTATATGGGGTCAGGAGTCACGGTCGTCTGCATATTGCAGTTCAAAGATCTGTTGGGTTCTGGGCTTTGGGTGGGCTTGGAGGCGTCTTAGGTTGAGGAGATTTCCATCCAGACGGTACTGTCGCTGGATTCAGTCGATTGAGTTGAGGGAGTTGTGTGCCAGGCTTGTGATGGCAGCAAGGAGCCATGTTGAAAATGACTGGAGCCAGAACACGGCATTGCTTGACCCCGACCTCCACGTTGAAGGGCCCTGATTGAAGCCCACCAAGCACCACTCTGGCATGCATTCCTTCATGGAACTGTTTAGAATGCTTAGAAACTTGGGAGGCACCTCAAGTTTAACGGGCTGCTGCCAGAGTATCTCGCTGGTTGATGGTGTCGAATGCTTTGGTGAGGTCGATACAAGCTATGAAGAGGTCTTTGTTTTGCTCCTGGAATTTTTCCTACAGTTGCTTTTCCACATGCCGGCCTAGTACCCAGGCATTGAAGTCTCCCATGAGGAGTAGCTTGTCGGTATGTGGTGTGTTGTTAATGGCAGTGTCGAGAACTTTATAGAAGGCCTCCTTGGTGTCATTGTCTGCTTCTAGTGTAGGCGCATAGCCACTGATGAGCGTGGCAAAGCGCCCCCCATCCAAGGGAATGCGCCACGTCATCAGCCGCTCAATAATGCCAACAGGGGATTCAGTGACGCGTTGAACGATTGAGGTTTTCACAGCATGTTGGGAGCGTTAATCTTCTGGAACACCCTTCCAGGTGTAGCACCAACCTTTGTGAGAGAGTCTTCTCCATGTAAGTGGCTTTCACTGAGCGCTGCAATGTCGATGTTGTATTTCCTGAGTTCATGGGCCACGAGGGCTGTCCTTCTGTACGGTCTGTCGGTTTTTTCGTTGGAGTCCAGGAGGGTGTGGACGTTCCATGAAGCAACTTGAAGGAGTAACCCAGTCTTGGATTTCCTTGAGTTTTGGCCGCTGAATGGGATGTTCCGGTGGTAGCGGGTAACCACTCGGCGTGAGTGGAACAGACAGTTTTTAGACCACCTTTTATAGGTCCTTTCCCATCAGGGATGAGCAGTGCGGGGTTGCTCAGACATGATGGAAGCTGCCGAGGAGATACGCTGTCCCATCACTTGTCTTGGCGACCTACACGCCATCGCTGCCTACGTGCAGAGTTTGGCTAGATGCTCCCAGTCACATCCTTGACCTGCATGTTCTGCCATTCGCTGTCGCCGTAGGGCTTAATAATAAGGGGGGGGGAGGGGTTGGAGCAAGAAGCCTGCGCTGGGAGTGGAAAAAGGTGAGAGTCGGGGTGCGATAGTCCCTACGCCAACCATCTTCACTCAAGCCAAACAGACTCAGGTGGCATGAGGAACTCACTGCAACCTTCGTCTGACAAGAGCTGCAGAGGACTACCGGAGATCCGATTGTTGAATACCACCATTGCAGGTACCCACCACATATTTGGAGTCAGGGTTTCTCCTCTAGCCAAAGTTTACCCACAAGGTAGTGGGGCAGTGGTTGGCAAGTTGTAGATGCCTCTGGGGACCACTGCAGCTCCGAGATCCCCTACTGGTTTGACCTGGTGTCGCGGGACACCCATTACTATGGGCTGCCAACGGGGAGGCACATTCGGAGTCTTGGTGATGGAGAGGCTCTGTACTGGCAAGGAATACTTACGCACTCGGCTTCCTGTTTCACCATGATGGCTAGCCAGCGGCAGCGTTTGAAAGCAAGGGTAGCAAAACATAGCAAGCAGAGCAGCAGGCAAGCAAGCAAGCGGGCATGCACCTCAGCTAATCGTGATTACTGCACTATGTGCATCACATCACCTTGTGATTTAGGCAACCACCAACCCACCAGCCATATTATATAGTACACACATAGTACACACACACACACACAGACTCCCGTGTAGCCATAGTACAACACACACAGTCTCCCGTGTAGCCATACAGACTGTACATACAAAGACAAAGATGCCCTGTATAGTCTGAGAAGACTGTTGGGGCAAGGCCGGCCTTCATTATCTGCCACGGTGCTCGAGGGCATGGGTGGCCAACACTGTGCCCCACCGCCTTTATCTTCCTAGTAGACTGGTTCAGATAATCGTCACATGGTAGGGATGATAATGATGGTGATGACGATTATAGTGATGGAGGCGCCGCTTACTCTTTACGGAAATGATGATGGTGACGACGAGGGTGACAACGATGATGGTCTCTCCAGTGTTGCCGCTTGTTCGAAGTGGAGAGACCAAGTACTACGAAAGCACTTGCAAATGGCAACATCATCACCTCTCGCACTTTCCTGTTTTTTCACCAGCCAGCCCAGGCCTGCCGGCATACTGGAGCTGGCTTCTCATTATTGATGGGGACGTCGAATTGAATCCAGGCCCGTTTTTCCCTTGTGGCGGCTGCGGCAAGAACGTCAATGCAAATTCTATCCAACGCAACGGTTGTCAAGCTTGGTACCATAAATGCTGCACTACTTTAGCCTACATCCCAAGTTCAAATTCCGGCTGGTTCTGCAAATATTGTACATTATCTACTCCACAACTCCACCTTGTAAAATCACACTAGCACCACCACCTCATCCATTGCAACCACCGTTTCAACCACAACAAAACGTCCACAACAAAAACAACCTAAAATCCTTCAACTAAACATCAACGGCATCAACAAGAAATCTCTTGAACTCAACACCTTCCTACAACAAAACTCCATTAATATAGCCGCCATCCAAGAAACAAAATTTAAATCCACTTCTCGTCCGCCCAACTTACAAAATTTCACTTCCTCCGTCGAGACCTACCAACAGCTGGTGGCGGTCTAGCTTTCCTCATCCATAACAGCATTCAATTTGAAGAAATTTAGATCCCAATGCCTCCTTCTGATATCACCACAGAAGTCTTAAGCGTCCGTATCAAATCCCATCTAGGCCCACTCACTATAATCAATGTCTACATCCAACCAACCAGTTCTTGCCCTCCCAACTATCAGTTCAATATAAATCGACTTTTACCAAACAACGACTCAATTGTTATTGGAGATTTCAACGCCCACAACAAACTTTGGCACTCTTCCCTTTCAGACGCACGTGGCGACCTCATTGCCAATATCTTCAACGGCTCCCCCTATGGGGTACTTAATGAAAATATTCAAACCAGAGTTCCATCATCTGGCCCTTCATCCTCACCAGATATCTCAATATCGTCAGGAAACCTCCTTTCATCAATCGACTGGCAAGTCTTTACGATCCTTGGATCCGACACCTACCCATTGTGTTGACCCTCAATTATGCCAGTCCCATTTGGTGCCCAAACCTCTACTCTACAGGTTACCAAAAACTCCAAAACCGCCCAAAACCAAGCACTTATACTAGCCACATGATGCCACCTCATGGCGCCCATTGACCATCTCCACCAAAAAACCAAAGTTCTTACGATTAAAGAACACTGCAAGCTTCTCACTGATCAATATCTGGCTTCATGCCATTTGACAATGCATCCTTGCACAAAGCTACTCAAAGCCCCTGCACCTGCTAGGAAAAGTAAATCCACCTTGCTTTCCTTCAGCTCTGCCAACGTGCAATCTACTTTAAATGCTCTTCCACCAAATAGCACCACCAAATCAATTTTTAACCACTTGCACACCGCTGGCACCATGCACTGCCTGAACGCCTACACAAGCCCCCAATGTTGCGCTTGGGGGTTGGCCCCCACCCATAGCAAAAATCCCTGACCCGGGCAACTCGCACAAACTGGCTAAACTCCATTCAGGTTACTGCTCCATGCTAGCCGATTACCAAAATCGATACAACCCAAACACCCCAAAACTGCTGCCCTTTGTGCCAAGCAACGCCAAAAGACGTCTCCCATTTTCTCAGTGGCCCACAACGCGGACCAAAAATTAAATCTATTGTTCTCTGGCTAAACCCTTCCAAAGTGGCGACGCAACACCACCTATAAACGGAAAGTGCGAGGAAACACACAACAACGATGATGGTGACGATAGTGACAATGGTGATGATGTTTGTGATGGTGACTACGATGATGATGGCGACGGAGGTGCCGCTGACTCTTAAAAGAGATGATGATGGTGACGATGATAGTGACGATGATGATGGTAATGATCGTGATGATGATGATGGTGAAGACGATGATGATGGTGATGGAGGCGCGGCTCACTCTTGACGGGGATGATGAGTTGCGGGATGACGGGGAGGACCTTGGCGGCGCCGTGCTCCAGGAGGTCGTGCACACCTGGCGCGCAAAGAAATCGTAGGGGTGCGCCGTCTCGCAGAGGCGCTCGAAGAAGAGCGGCAGGGTAGTGGTGGTAGTCCACTTCTCAATCTCCACCTGGGGAGAGAGGCGCTCGCTAACCTCGTCGGCTCACAGTCGTCTGCCACTTCTCCACAGTCTGCCTACTCTTCCACCGTCGGTCTACTCCCCACAGTCTGCCTACTCCTCCAGGTCTGCCTACTCACCCACAGTTGACCCGGGTGAGGCAAGGGTTGGTGGACCACGCAAGGGTTGTGCTGTTTGGTTCCTGTCCTCTTGGCGCCTCTGAGTCGCCCCCCCCCCGCAACTCTCTCTATATCTCTGGAGGAGCGAGCAGACGCCGCGTGGCGGTCTGTGATCGTGCTCCACCGGTTTACCGTCCCGGCATCTCCGGCAAACGGCGCTCTCCGGTCCCCCTCTCACCTCTCGCACCCCCCTCCCCACCCCCACCGTGTCTGTCGACTATGAAGCACCGCGTGCCCAGCAGTGCCACGAGGACCCCTCCTCGGCACCCTCCCCCCTTGCACTTCTCAAGCTGTGCCTCCTCCCCATCTCCGACCGAGTCCACCTCCTCCGACCGCCCACCACCAACGAGGCCAGCGCGTGGCTAGCGGCGTGGCCACCGCCGCCTCACTGGGCCCCGATCCCCACGTGTCCCGCGCGCACGACGCGGCCTCGGCCGGCACCCGCAGCTCAACGACGACACGAACCTCAAGTCCTCCTCCCCTTCACCGCCCACCGCTGTGCATACCCCTAACTCTGCACGTTCACGGGGGATCTGCATGCCCCCCATCCACCCTGCCGGTCACCTTCCACGCGATGCGGTTGCCCTTGGTGTCGTGCTCCAGGGCGATGGGGAAGTCTCCCCGCTCGTAAAACTTGCGAAACGCCGTCGGCTTGGAGGGGCGCTCGCGGAACGCGCCCGCCGACGGGGGGCCCAACACCTGGGACGAGGAGGGGGGACACGCAGGGGCGGGGGGGGGGGGGGAGGCACGTGGAGAATGTGGTTACAGATGAACGGTACGGGGGGGGGGGGCATGGGTGCGAGTAGGGGACACGAGGGGGGGCACATTGTGTGTGCGTGTGCGCGCTCGAACAGTGCAGTGGTTGGCGCGCTGCGCTATGGACACGGCGACCCGAGTTCGATGGCCAACACCGGTGACCATTATCTGAACCGGTCATGGGCCTCTCCGAGGTTGACTCAGCCTCAAACAGATACGTGGTGTGTGTGTGGTGCTGGCTACCCACGCCCTCGTGTGCCGTGCGAGCCTTCGTAGGAGCTCCCGAACAGCACTTGCCCCAAAAGTCGTGGTCCACAGAGACCGCCTTCCTACTAGTTCCCTGTCCTTCCCCCGCACCTCCGATTAGCACGGTTGGCTACGTACAATGCTAATGAAGTTCAGCGCACATACGAGGCTAAACCGGGGGGGGGGGTGTTTATTTGTGTGTTTTTAATCGATAGTGGGAGGGGTGGCTTAATGGTGTGTCCATGTAATATTGTGCATGGCCAGCTTCCACCAACTAGGACCACGATCCATACATCTCCCACAACCATCATCGTCGCAATTGTAAGATTGTCAACTCAAAATCGTACACATCAGTGGCATTAAATCATCACCACCACTACACCACCAGCAGCATTACTACCATCACCAACATCACCATTATCCCCCATTATCATAGCTAACATCACTGCTACCATCAACACCATTACCCACACTTCCCCATCACCACCATCACCACAACCAAGATTACCTACACTACCATCACCAACATCACCAGCACCATCACCACAACCAAGATTACCCACACTACCATCACCGCCACCACCACCACAGCACCACCAACGTTATTCACACAAACATCAATACTGCTAGCATCATAGCCACCATCACACTTTACCATCAACATCACCGCTACCACCACCCTCACCAATATTACCACCACAACCCCATCACTAACATCACCACCCTATCAACATTATCTCATTCCAACACCACCACCCCTCTGCCAAAATCACCACTACCATCGCCGAAACCACCATCAAGCGGATGTCACCGCCGCGACCATCACTACCAACAACATTACCCCCACACACACATCACCAACATCGTTAGCGAGCACCTATAAGGGCCGACACGGAACATAAAGGGATGGGTGGCCAAGACCACGCCCGACCGCCTTTGTCTCCCCAGTGGTGATGTTACACACCTTCATCAGGTACTCATTTGAGGCTGAATCGACATAGGGGAGGCCCAGGACCGGTTCAGATAATCGTCACTGGTATTGGTTTTGTACTACTATCATGTTTGTGTGTTGTATTGTTGTTGGAACGTTCTTACCGCCCCTACTGGGCATCTGTGAAGAAAATCTTTATAGGTCATCGGAGTCCTCCTGCAGTGTAAATACATATTCTGATCCCGGCTCGGATTCGTAGCGCAGCGCGCTGACCGCTACACTACCGCTACCCCCACACCCATCACAACAACAACAAAAAACATTCCCCATACCAGACAAATCACACGATACCAGCACCAAAACAACATAATAACCACACCACCATCACCACCAAAGACAAAGATCCCCGTATCGCCTTAGACTGTAGGGGCAAGTGCTGTTAGCGAGTGAAGGTCGGCACGGCTTGCGATTGGGTGGGTAACCAGCAACCAGCTCGGCCACTTTGTCTCCCAGTGGCGATGTTTACATACCGCACCAGGTACTCAATTTGAGGCTGAGTCGACCTAGGGGAGGCCCAGAGCGGTCAGATAATCGTCACCGGTGTTGGCCGTGAGCGGGAATCGCATCGGGCGCCAGGTTCGTAGCGCAGCGCGCTGACCACTACACACACACCACAACAACCCCAACCACCATCATCACCACCACCATCACCAGCAGCAGCAGCCACCACGCGGATCTCACCACGGCGTTTTCTCTCGCCTTCACGGTGAAGCCCTGGGTCATAGCGCCATCTCCACTCCTGCCGCTGCTGCTGCTGCCTCTATCACCTCCATGGCCAGGGGCATCGCCACTGCACACCGGGGGGGGGGGGGGGGGGGGAGATGCTGGGGGGTGAGGGAGACGTGAGGGGGGAGATGATGGGGAGACGTGAGGGGGGATGGGGGAGACGTGAGGGGGGAG